TCTCCTGCCCGTCTGCCTGCTCTGCTGTACCTCCCCCTTCTTCTCCTTATTCCACCTTTTCATCTTTCCCTATCTCCCAACAAAACTTTTTCTTTGCTTTGTTTCATCTTCCGAGTTGTCATCTCTGATCCTGTTCTCATTTCTATCTCTGTGTGGCCTTCCCCACTTGTGTTTCCTCGTTCTTGCCCACCCCCCTCCATCCCCCTCCTTCCCATTTTTGTTCCCGCTGGCAGGGTGCAGCCATATATTCGCCTGTTCCTGCGAGGGAGTGAGCGATGTGCGTGTCGCCCATGGTGGCGGAGGGAGCAGCAGAGCCTGACGTGAACATACGCTGTGAGAGCTCCCATTTATAACTCCTTCTCCTAATGAACAACACGCTGAATGCAACACGGATGCAATTACCTCCAGGAACTCATTTTCATAAGGATAAACAAAAGTGCTTGCTCTTACCACAAAGTGGAAAAGTCAAAATGGATGCTAATGGGCTCCTGGCAAAAAATTATAGGAAATTGAACTTCCATGCTAAAGAGGCTAACACTTGGACTGCAGTTCATTTTTTGCTCTCCAGCTCCAGGCCTGGCAACCTGAAGCCGGGAGAGTCACAGCCAGTTTTGCCATCTGCATCTCTAACGTCACGTTGTGTGTCAGCAGGCAGGTTTGCACTCCCTTCCCTTCCTCCACCATCATTGCCATCTTACCTCCATTGTGCTTGGTCACATGTGATTTGATCAGACACTCATGGTTTTGGCTCAAGGTTTGGAAATTTGCTGAATCACTTTTGCTCCCTGTTTTAGTTTCCAAAGCTCTCCTATGTTTCCGATCCATGTTGGTTAATCTGTACAACATGCAGAATGCTAGGAGATACTATGCACAGCCAAACGGGCAGGTGTGCATGTGTGTGCATATGTGTGGTCAGAAAATGAGACAGAGCATAATTAATCCTCAGGCTTCAGAGCTCAAGTCACCAGTTGTCGGCATCTTTCCCCACCTGCTGCACACCCTCCTTCCACCTTCCCCACAAAATGTACACAGTAAGGAGGCGTCAGCAGGTTAATTAGCAGGAAGAATATGGTTGGGGGCTTGGAGACAGTGGAGACAAACAGGAGGCACTCACTCTCCTTGGCCCTTTCCTCACTGGCAGATGCTGCCACCGCCAATGCCATGACCCCACTCAGCACACTTCTGGAGAAAAAAAACAGACAATTGGAGGGATGGGGAGACAGTTGGAGCAAAAGCAGCTTTGGCCATATAGTAAATGGATGACTTGAGAGATTTTATCAGACCCCGAAAAGAAATTTGTCTTGCTGTCATTTATGCCCATAAAGCTCCTCAGTGGTGGAGTGTTGGTCTACGGAGCTATGCCCATATGGCTAACCTGCTTGGTGAGCTGCTGTAGTGAGAGACAGAGAGGCTCCCCAGAAGACCTCTCATTCTGAGAGCTATATGGCTGAAGGATCCCAAGGTCATACAACAGAGACAACAGCCTTCAGTGATAGAGCATCAGTATCAGTGACAAGTGATGAGTGTGTTTTTCACAATGCTGGCTATGAGCTACTGTGAGTTATCATGAAAACAACAACTTTAAGACAAACGAAACAGTGAGATCGAATGTTGTCTTTAAGCTGTGCAGTGTAGCTCGACCATAACCGCGTTGTATTGACCATGTTGTATTGTCCTTTTAGGGGTGGACTGTGAGGTGGGCGGCAGGCGGGTGGAGATACAGGTATTTGATAGAGTAGCTTCATTACCTCAAGTGAAGGGCAATCTGGCTTCACGTAGAGAGAGAGAGAGAGAGACAGAGAGAGAGAGAGAGAGAGAGAGAGAGAGAGAGAGAGAAAGAAAGAATAAAAGAATGAAAAACTAAAGAAAGAAAGAAAGAGAAGAGGACAATGTCAGTATATAACAGTATATCAGTATATATCTGTTTGACTTAATTTTGGGTATGAGGCCAAACCAACCAGCAGATACAACAGTCGATGTGTTTATTTTAAACCACTGAAATTTCAAACTTCAGAATATGTTTCACATGCCTGACAAACTTGTACACTGGATCAGTGTAAGATTTTTTGGAAACTTGCAACGGTGTGTGCAAACATTTATGTTTTATGTTTTCTTTAGTCTTGCATCTCTATCAAAATGGGTTTGGGTGTTCAGACTATCCACCTAATTTATTTATATATCCTTTCCTATTAATCACTGCTTTCATTTCTGTATGTTCATACAATTCTGCAGTGTATGATTACACGCCAATCTCAGTGTTCAGTGCCAACAACTAATACTGGCTTTTTTTATTTCCATAACCATAATCTTTCCCTAACCTTGAAGTGTTTTACTTGCTTAATCATACTTTAACCATACCTTACTGTAGTTTCCATGCACAGATAATGTAAAAAGAAACCACTGTAAAACTATTTTTTTTAAACATTAAAAAAACAAATTAAATGTGATACAGTGTTTTGCAGAATCGTCAAGTTTCTGTGTGGTGATAGGATTAGATTAAAAATGCCAACTACTTACAACTCAAACATCAATTATTCTATCATGACAGAGCAAGTTTTCATCTTGACACTGATCATATCTCACTGTCTTGAGCTTCCATTCCGGCAAACAAGAACTGATGCTGTTACAGGCATTACCCTCCACAATTGTAAAGGTTCTGGTTACATTATCATGGACACACACACACACACACACACACACACACACATACACACACAAAGTGGAAAAGTAAAGCTATACCTCCATGGATAAAGCTTTGTCGATGGAGTAATGGGCTCTCCTGATGGCAAGGGACCATAATATCCTCTAAAGAGGTTATAGCTGCAGACTGGAGAATGAAGAATATAGTATGGGGGATGGGAAATACCAAGGCAGACTGTGAAACACCAAGAGACTGCCTTCAGTTTAGCATTTATGATAAATTGATGTCTTTGTCTTTCTTTTCTCCTTCTTGCTTTTGGTCTCCTTCTCTGGTTTCTCTGCCCTTGCCTGTAAAAAGGCAGCTCACTTGGAATACTCAGTGCAGAGTAATGATCTGTCTATCATTGCTCAGCCACTGGCCACAACTCATTCAACTGGACAAGCAGTACAACGTAGGAGGAAGGGAGGGAGCGTGGGAGGAAGAGAGAAATCTAATGGGAATAATCAATGCTAGTATATCTGATGACTTCATCCTCTCCGCCTGTTTACTTTGATTTAACAGTTCATAATTCCAGCAGTGAATACAGTAAATACAACAGTGAATCAATAAGACTATAAACCATGTTGAAGAAAGCGCTGTGGTCAGTCGAAGGGTACACTTGGGCAGGATACAAGCGGAGGCAGCCAGGAGAAAGCGATATACGAAGGCGTTCTCATCTCGGCTGGTCTCACGCTCTGCTGAACATCATCAGTGTAGAATTACACCTCAAACTGAATCAACACACAGCACACTTTTCAGGTCCTCTTTCCACCTGCCCGCTATGTACCTGCAATATTTGTCATTATCGCACAACAGAATGAAACTCATCTGCTGTAGATGACTTACACCACACAAATGAAAACTCACTGGCCTGACGAAACAACATTTTGAAACATATTCTGTGACTGGAAATGAGACAGTCGTGACGCAGGCTAGACAGACCTGCTTCTTTCCAGCTAATTTCAAAATGAATCAAAATAAAAGAATTCAATGCGGACAATATGAAATCTAAATCTTTTTTTGGAGGGCATTTTCCAGCACTCTGTGTGAAGCAGGATGTCCCTAACAAGGCATGGCATTTAGAAAGAATAATAGTAACCTAGTGTGTTCTCCTCGTGAATCTCAGGGCTGATGCAGTACAATTCCATTAGCCATCCTCCTCCAGCTGAGAGCTCTCTGTCTGTCATTCATCACCAGCTGCAGCACAACACAGAAACAACAGCAATGAAAATTAACTTTCCCTGCGCCACTCCTCCATTCGTCTGTTTCTCTTTCTCTCTCTCTCTCTCTCTCTCTCTCTCTCTCTCTCACCTTTTCTACCCCCCAAACTTTCTCCATCATAATTAACCTCTAATTCTTGCAGTTTCTATTCCATGTGTGACTAACAAATGGGAAACAGTGTCTTTCTGTGACATCTGGCCACAAGCTGCTCCCTCTTGATACTACAGTTACAAGGGAAAGGGCTGAATATCAACACCAGCAGCACCAACTCCAGTCCAATCCATTGAAACCGTAGCAAGTTTTTTCATAAAGGTTTAATTTAAAATGGCTATTTTACGGGAGAGTGACTCATTTTGCTTTTTGTAATGCTCATGCGGATAACTCTGTCTGTGAGGGCAGCACGTAAAGCACCATTTCAGTTCTGCATCAGGTGGAGCGGCCTTGTTTTTTCCATGCAAAAGAACTCGCAACTCGGTGTAACTCAGTGATGGACTATCAACACAAACAGCTTCTGTAAAACACACTTTGAATACTTGCAGCTGCTGTCAAAAGATATTTTTTATTACTGTCCTCTCTCAAATTTAGATTTCCTCACTGTTACTCTGTCTCTCTCTCTCTCTATCTCTCTCTCTCTGTTTCTTCTGCTTTCTTTTTTGCTCTCTCACCTTATTTCTCTATCGCGGTATCGTTCTCTTTTCCCTTCTCTCATCTTACGTCTCCGTGGTCTCCATTTGCAGTTTGAGTGACAGATTTGGTTCGTGGTTCAGACGGTGAGAGGCTGGTTCTATTTCACAGGTTTCAGTCTATTCCAGTTGGGTCATGACTCTGACAGTTGCAGTGTGATCTGAGTGTCTACTCCACCTCAGTAATGTTGTTTTAGACTATCATACAGTACAAGTCTGTCTGTCTGGACACCTGAAGGCCGTATATGCCGGTGTCAATCCAGGTTGTAGAGATGCAAAGAATGGTTCTGCAGACATGTAATGTACAGTCTATTATAGTTAATAGTCACTGTGAGGAAAAACAGAATCATCAACTCTGTCTTTTTCATTTTACACACACCTTTATGTGCACACAAACCCAGTTACACACGTCTGCATGTACTTATTCAGCCCACACAAAGTTGAATTAGGCTTTTATTCCTTTGAGACATTTTTTATTGTGAGTTTTCTTCTTTTTTACTATCACTAAAATGCATCTGTTTTGCCCACTGTGCACTTGTTAACTGTACAAATGACATGCTGTGTATGAACTTAACACTGTGTGTGCATGACTGTGTGTACACAAATGTAGACCTCACTGACTCCCTTGTGGGCCACTGGATGGCCATAAACACAAGGACACGTTAATTAACAGTTGAATGTGTGTGAGGGGGAGCATCATCCCAGAGCGGCCGTGCATCCATGTGTGCTACGATGGGGAGGAGAGCCACTGTCTCTGAAGGGCAAGAGGCAGTGCGGTCCCTGGCAGCTCGGGAATGGAGCTGGTCCAAACAGTCCTTTGGCCCATTGTTATGCAGGATAATCCAAAATCTGGCAACTAGCAGCAGCACCAGGTGGTCCTGTCAACACACAGAAGAAGAAGATGGACTGAAAACAGCAATAGAGCATGCTGGGCCAGCCCTTGAGAACTGAGGATGTCTGAGCAACAACAGACAGACAGAGGAGGACATAAGACTGAAGATGTGGTGGTTAGCAGTAAAATTAAATGGCACATGTTTTTTTTGTATTAGTGAGAAGCACATGGTCATATTTGTATGTGCGTGTGTATGCATGCATGCAAGAAGTAGAGCAATATTTGTTGGTTGCAACAACTTCCCAAGAAAAATGTGAGCGTGTGTGTGTGTGTGTGTGTGTGTGTGTGTGCAGGGTGGTATTCCTGTAAATAAAGATTGCTGTGTAAAATTGCTCTGACAAGCACTGACTGAATCCAGCTCTAAGTGGGTGTGAAGGACAGAGTGATCTCCAGTGAGAGCTGAGACTGTACCACATTTTTGCAACCTCAGGGAATGTCCGCCGCTACAGCTAGTAAACACAACAGAAAAAAACAGCACATGACCTACATGCATTACAACCCTAAATCCACGAATTCAAGCTGCTGATGTGAGAGCTGATGCTGGCTGAATGGGCAGCAGGAAAACAAGTGAGGATAACAAGAAGATGGAGCTTTGAAGCAGATGACTTTTCACCCATGTTAGGTCACTTGTTACTAGCTTTTCCTCTACATGTCATGGGACAGTAAAACAGAAAGAAATGAGAGAAATGGTGAGTTTTGCCCTTCAGGAGGTCAGAGCTTGCACTTGATACATAGCATGTCCTAAAGTGTGCTTTCTGTTTACCTCTGTGTATGTGTGTGCTCATGCTCAAACCAGCCTTGGAGTGTCTCTGATGGCTTTGAGATACATATGTTTGTTCTCCGCAAGGCCCAGTATAAATGATCCAGCCAAGCGGAGCTCTCATCGCTCACGGGCTGCACTCATATACCATTACTCAGCCCTGATCGGCTGGATCTCCACCTCCCTCCCTATGAGACAGGCAGGAGGAGAAATGAGCAGAGATAAACAACCAAACAGCCAAATTCAAAGTGGAGAGGGAGAGAGGGAGACACGCTGAAGGAAGAAATGGGGGGGTTAGAAGAAAACGAAAGATAAAGATACAAGAAGGATGAGAGCGATGAAAGAGCGGTGAAATGCAAATCATTTACCTGGAGAACAGTGATGTTTTTCTTCTGTTTGTCTCCTGAGAAAATAACTAATTGATCTGTCCACTGTGCGATTACCTCTCATCACGCTCTGATTGACTGTCTGTCACACGCACTCACTCTCTCTGAATGCTCAAACACACAGGGCATCTGTCTCTATCAACTGCACACAGTGTGTGTGTGTAGATGCACATGCACTCAAATACATTGTCCCTGACTGGCAGCTATCACACCTCAGCATCACTCTGCTGCTCTCGCAGTCGCAGAGCGAAGAGACAGATAGAGGGGTTTGACAAATGACGACAGTATTGTTTAGATGGGAGATGTCGAGATTGTGACCGAGTGAGCATCCCAGGCATGCTGACACATAGTGTGGGGTAAGGGACGTCACTGGTGGGAAGTGGGATGGGGTGGTACCAGAGACAAGCACTGGTACATGGCAGATACATTTTCAAACTGCATTACCGGTCAAGAAAATGAAAAACTGACAAGAGCAAATGCCTGCCATTGAAAGCTCCTAAAGATTGATGCTGCTCCTTCTTGAAGGGCTCTTAGTTCAGATTTTTATTATCTGACCTTGCACTAACAGTAGTTGCACAAGTTTTTCCAACTCTAAAAGAGAAGAATTAAGTGGAATTGTTTGGGTTCATGAGCGTAGCATTAGGCAGTCTGCACAGCTCAGGTTGAAAATGGGTTGACCCCGAAGCCGGTCTGAGGTGAGACTTGCTGTTTCAGGGTCAACTGCGCTGTGGTTGTATGCTGAAGGAGTGGTCAGCCTAGCTTGACTGGAGAGCTGAGAAAAAGAGAGGAAGGAGAAAAAAAATTTATCCTCTAACAGCTGAATGTGACCCACAGTGCAGAGACACAAGCAACATATTTCATAGCCATGGCTCTGTGTGGACATGCAGAGAAATTGAAGTCACACATTCTGAAGATTTATTTCTGCTTTTCACCACCAGAATCAAAAATGTGTGTAATTCGGCTCCCTCTATACTTCAAAAAATAATCATTTGTTTTCATATGAATGCACATACAGCAGAGATATATGATCAAAGTTTGTGCTTATTAATGATACAGACAACAGCTAAGTCTACTGTAAAGGAAAGATTGCTGTACATTTCAAACACTCCACACTAGTCACTGCAATGTAATTAAGGCTTAGTTTGGTTTGATGCCTGTTGACAATGAGAATCCCATCATCTCAGTTTTGACATATCGCATGCTTCATGCTCCAGTGTACATGGAGGCAGAATGAGTTCAGGGGATAGGCTGTCAGTGGCTCTGCCTGTCAGGATGACTGTAGGGTCAGAGGTCATGTTGGGATATGGATAGTGGAAGGAGAGCAACTCCAGGCAGCAGTGTACAGTGCTGCAGTATGGCTCAGAGCTGTGTTTGTGGGCGGAGGATGGGGCATACTGACTGTCTTTTTGTTTTTCATTGCTCCCCACTGCCCACAAGACTGTTATCATCCTGGCTTATTCAGTCTGAAGGGGCCCCAGTGGATGGAGTGGATGTAAATCATCCAAGCGTGTATGGATGGAGGCCTACCCCATGAGGAGAGGCAGAAGATGTAAACCGAAACTGACCCTATCTGAGTGGTCGATTCTTACTCTTCATGATCTCTTTTTCCGTCTCTGATGTTACAACAACTGACAGCTGCAGTATAAAATCAACCGAATCTTATTACTGTCTTAGTGATCATTTTGAAATACTGGCTATTTTCCTTAGATATGATATAAGACGGTGAATGGAATTAATACCGGACAAGGGAAGACAGAGGCTGCATAATTTTTCTAAGATTCCTATTAAGAAATAAACTATTAACTCCAACTATATTTACAATCCTTTCTGATAATGACAGTAATTGTTGTGATTTGATATATATGGAAATTTACAAACCATGTGGGTTTTTTTTTTCAGGAAACGCTAAAACAAAAGCAGAGAAAAGGGTTTAGTTTAAGAGTCTCAACAGACAGTACACACATCTGGCATCTGTTTCCTTTTGCAACTTTGCCAAAACTTTTCCAAGGATAGTGAGGAGACTGGAACTTGAGTTCCACCGGTCTTCTGAAACAGGAAGGAGGAGAAAAACAGATAACGAATGTGAATGCGCAGAAACACAAAGCTGTTCAATGGCAATTACCACGCATTGCCTTGCACAGCTGACAGTTTGAAAGTGGCACTCTCAACGTGTTTTATTCTTGCAAACGAAAGACAAAAGACAAACTTAAGCAGATGTACAAGAGCTCAACTGCCAAAGCATCCCACAAGCTGTTGCCTATTCATGCAATATAATCGAGCTACTGACCCTGTACATGACCCCTATAACCTCCTCATGACCTCCACTAATTTTTCGAGGAAGTGTTGTCATTGTTGCCATTGTAATTCAAAAGACACAAGAAAGAGACACAAATACTGAACCTCGCCCTACCCAAATTGTACCTCTGCCTTGACACCTACCTGAAGGTCACTTTCACCTCAATCCAGCATCAACATGTGTCATAACATACATTTTCTCCCATATTTCCAACCAACCCTGTAGCTTTCCTTTCAGTTCAACGCCATTCCAGTCCCCAAAATGACTTCCTCACATGTTCATCAGCCGCTGACAAACTGTGAACAACTGCCTCACTGCTGTCTTTGTCTGTCTTCCAACCCCCTAACCTTTATAGCCACCACCTCTACCATTTTTGTCACCATGGCGTGCCGCACCAAAATCACAGGAAACAATGTGGGAATCAGAGGGGAGGCATGGTGTGGGCTGTCTCTCTGCAGCAACTACTAATGAGCTGTAATCTGGAGCAGCAGGAGGCAATGCCTGCTCAAGGAAATTGCTGTTGCTTGGTACATTCGTTCACTAACAGAGGAGGAGGCATCAGATCTTCAGTGCTCATTTCCCGAGAACAAAGGAGGAGACAGTGTTAGAAACAACCTTCATGAGCTTCCTCTGACGTGCCTATGTAGGATGGAAGGTGAGCAAGCTGGGAAAGTAGGTAGAAGCTATATAAATTCAAAAGTGGCTGTTCTTTGTCAGATGTGCAGGTCCAGGGAGTTGATAGCATGCCCCCTTCTCTTTTTAAGTTTCTGTGCTGAATTTCCTACCAGCTACCTTTTTCCAGCGCTCCCAACCTGTTTCATAAAAAAAACTCTTTCACCTGCTCTGTCAGACTACAGCTCGCCAGACCCCACGCCGTTCCAGCTCCCCACCTCCTTGCCGCATGTGTCCTTGTGTTTCATCACCCACCGGGTCTGTCTCCGATGTTTGCTATCCGGCTCAGATCTGCTCGCAGGGGGAAACAATAGAAATGGTAAACAAAGCTGATAAGTTTCCATAAAAAAAAAAATGTCAACGTGAAATGATCCCTGTTATTCATTCACAGCCTTGGAAATATGACACCACCTGTGCGAGGAGAGCAGGAAACAGAGGTAATATGTTTCAATGACAGCACTGACTGCTCTGGATAGAGAAGGTTTATGTCCACAGCAGCAACAGCATGGAAAGAGAGAAGAAATACATTTATTTCAATTCAAGCCTGCCTTGGAAAAAAAGTGTCACAGGGATACCAAAGGAAAACAAAATGCTCCGAAGAAGAAAGATGAAAAGAGGAGAGAGCAAGAAAGAGGGAGTAACAGCGATAAGAAGAGAGAGGCTGAACCATCTTTTCCACCTCAGGGTAGCCTGCTAAAAGCTATCTGTTCCCCTGGTGACGGAGCACAGCACAAGTTCTGAGGCTGGAGAACAGAAGCTTAAGATAGGCTTGCACGCATATACACACTCCATCTCTGTCACACACACACACACACACACACACACACACACACACACACACACACACACACACACACACACACACTCCTCCC